CCAATAAGTGCCCCAAATGTCGAAAAAAGTGATTAGAAACCAAGGAATTCGGACCATAGACGGAAGGCAAGAAAAGTTCGGTCTTTCGCTATATAAAGGTATGTGGTTTTACCCTGGGGGTTAAGGGCAGAGCCCCTTGGCTAGGGAATATATAGATCGTATTTTATTAAAACCACGGGCTAGGCGCGTATAATTAGGCTAGGTTAGGTTAGGTTAGGCTAGGTTAGGTTAGGTTAGGCTAGGTTAGGCTAGGTTAGGTTAGGTTAGGCTAGGTTAGGCTAGGTTAGGTTAGGCTAGGTTAGGCTAGGTTAGGTTAGGCTAGGTTAGGTTAGGTTAGGTTAGGGTAGGTTTATATATTACTAGGGGGTCCAGGGGGCGTAGCCCCCTGGCTAGGCGCATTTAATACCACGGGGGTCCAGGGGGCAGAGCCCCCTGGCTAGGGAATAAATAGATCGTAGTGTATAAATTTCACAGGGTTAGGTTAGGTTGGTTTATTGGTTAGGACGTATTGTACGATTACCACAGGGGATCTGGATTATCTGAAATCCCGTAGATTTTTACCGATGGCTGGGTTTGATCCCCGTAGAGTTTTTCGAAAATTGGCGCGCCGGCCCGTAGAGTTTCAAATGTGGCGGGGATGTGCGTAGAGTTTTCACAGGCCGATTTTCATCGTTTTTTGTGCTTTTCGGGACGGAAATTTGGCTCGGGTTTTCGAAAAATCTACTTTTTTACGTTTCTTAAATCACTTTCTTCGATTTCTGCAGGTTTCTATCGACATCCAGCGCCATCCATTATCCCCCCCCCCCCCCTTCAACCCCCGGTTCCCCACGCATCCCCCAAGATCGTTGGGTAGAGGAAACTTCAAAAAAATCTCATTTTGAAACTCAGTCTCTGAGAGGGGGCGTCGCTCTCGGTAACAATTACCGACTTCAGAAGCATAATATTTCAAGGCTTACATCTGATATCTTACCCTAAAAAACACTCATTTCAGTTAATTGTTTACAGGTTTTGCATGCCAATTACATTTTTGTTATCATGTAGTCAAAGGATTAACGCATAAATAATTTTTATTTTCACTCTTAGATACTTTAGATATATAAGTCGCATAGAAATAACATGATGCAATTTGTGGGTTAAGTAAATAAGCCCTTCATGATTCCTTTTCACCAATTAGGAGGAGGCTGTGAAAGCATTTGCCAAGACGTATGACAAGACGGTGTCCCTGGGCCAGCGCCTCGACCTGGTCTTCCACAACATCCGGCTCGGGCTCTTCTACCTGGACCACTCCCTCATCACACGTAATTTGGAGAAGGCAAAGAGGTGGGCGTTTTTAAGTTGTGTTTGTTTTTATTTCAATGGAGTTAAGTTGGAATAGTAAGAGGAATTACGTAAGTGTTCTCTGACCAATTTTGTACCCTTACAGCTTGATAGAAGAAGGAGGAGACTGGGACAGACGCAACAGGTTGAAGGTGTATGAGGGAGTGTACTGCATGGCGGTCCGGGACTTCAAAAAGGCCGCCAACCTGTTCCTTGACACAATTAGCACCTTCACGTCATATGAACTCATGGACTACACTAGGTAACTAAAGATTGCAGATTGTAATGATTCTAGAGTGAGAGTAAGAGACAGAGGCAGTGTGTGTTATAATTATTTTCTTATGAATTGTCTCTCATTTCATTTCTTTTACTTTTCATCCATTTGTTCTGTCTATTTTCATTGAAAATCTCTGAAGGAAAGTAAATTCTTGTTTTATTAAATCTACTACTTTTTTCCATGTATCAGAGACCTTAAACATACCAAAAAGTACTGAGATACCAAAATTTCTCACAGGTTTGTAGGCTACACTGTCCTTGTGTGTATGATCGCCCTACCGCGCAACGACCTTCGCACAAAGGTGGTCAAAGGGTCAGAGATTCAAGAGGTGCTTCACTCTGCAGATGACCTCAGATCTTACCTTCTTTCACTTTATGAATGCCAGTACCACACCTTCTTCCAGAAGTTGGGTAAGTAACTTCATGTTTGAGGTCTACTTTTTGGAATATGTAGCCAGTCAGCCTTGATAACATTTTAATAGGCTTTGATTTTGGAAAAGAATATTCATAGAACTTCACCATTTGATTCTTATATTTATCTTTATCTTTTTTTAATCTCGTATAAAAACATTTCTCTCCTTGTCCAGCTTGGGTTGAGGGTGAGCTACGACACGATCGCCTGCTGGCACCCCATTACAGGTACTATGTGAGGGAGATGCGCATCCTGGCCTACACACAGTTGCTCGAGTCTTACCGGTCCCTCACACTCCAGTACATGGCCACTGCCTTTGGTGTCTCCACAGAATTTATTGACAGGTTAGAGCTACGAGGCTTTAGTTTAATCGGCATTGAGCTTAGTATTTTTTCTTTGATTAAAGATTTAAGATAATAGCAAGAAAGAAATATTTCAATTGTTATTGTGTGAGTTCAAAAACTTTTATGCTCTTTCAGGGAACTGTCAAGGTACATTGCTGCTAATCGTCTCCACTGTAAGATCGACAAAGTGGGAGGAATTGTAGAGACCAATCGACCAGACTCTAAGAACTGGCAGTACCAGGCCGTGATCAAGCAAGGAGACATTCTTCTCAATAGAGTACAAAAGTTATCGAGGGTCATTAATATTTAGGTAGTAACTTTTTTTCCCTTTTTTTTCCATTTTGTATTTTAATATGTGCTTTATTTTTCATCTCAACCTGTCAGAAAGTTTTACAGACTCTAATGGAAATCTTGGTTAGAGGATGTCGTTCTTGAGTTGGAATTAATTTGGACCTAGGGGTGCCTGGGGCTATAACGTGTAAATCGTCTTAATTTAAACCATGGAAAATATTTAGAATGGAGTAAGAATTTCTACAATAATAAATGAATAAACAGATTTTCTTTTTTATTCCTTTCCTTTAATATGATACAACTAATATATGAAAAATGAATGGGTGGTAAATGCACCTGTATGTATAGATTGGGAGAATGGTCGTTTTAGGACTTTTGTGCTTCACTTTCTTTCAGTTCCGATGTATCTTTGTATCTGGGGCACCATCACTTACATAAACAATATGCATGAACACACAGTTATACCAATTATAGAGTGAGTGAGGTTAATTGTGTATAATAAGAATCTGTATTATTTAGGATGACAGATCTGTTTCCTTCTTCACTTCTGTTTAGTCTTTTAAAATTTTCTTTAATATCAGGTTCTTGATTAGTATATCAATAATGTCTTTTTTCAAGGACATTTTTAACTTTTCAAAATTAACTTGAGAGTTAATTCACTTATTTCAAGTCTCAAAATTTGCAGAGAAAAATGTATGCTTACAGTTGTCTCCTATTCTGTATACCTGTCACAACTGAGATTGCAGGAAGGAAAGATATATATATGCTTTTATATTTGTGTGCAGGTGTCAGAGAAGAACAAAGAATAGATAAATGAGATATCTGTCTCCTACATAATGTTTCAAGACAAACTATGATCAGGGAAGAAAAAGATATAACTGCAGCAATGTTTCTTTTTCATACAATGTAAATTCTTATTTTCATGCATTTAACCCACCCATAATGACAACTGACAACACACTGACCCGTATTTAAGGATCCACACACATTCTGCTGCATAAAAGAAAAAAGTAGAAGCATAGAAAATGTGAATTTACCTTATTCACCATGCTCTTGGCTGTGGGATATGCAATTGTTTTGGTAATGAAGCTTTAACCTGCTGCTGCTGGAGGTGGCATACCCACAGAGTTTAGTTTATTAATTGTCTTTACACACAAATGGCTCTACAATTACAAAGTCATCAGTAAGCCAATAACGAGTACTACCTATCTCACCTGTAATCCATTTCCTTGATTTTTGGATTTTTTTCTAGTATCTTATATTACTGTTAGTTGTGTCAATAACATAATTACAGGTCTGTAATAATAATAACAGCATTGACATCGATAATATTTAAAAAAATCCTGTAAACCCAAGGAAAGGTGAAATCAGGTGAGTCAGCAGGTCTGCTAATAGACTCCTTTATGGTTAAGCACTTGTAAAGCCATGTAAGTGCAGACACATTTCACAAAGTACATTATCCCGCTGACACAAGGTTAAGGTTTGAGGAGGTGGTTTCTTCTCAATGACCAGCCAGGGATAAATAAGCAAACCACTGCACAACTTGGAATTCATTTGTGCAAGAGATGTTATGATGTCACCCTGTAGTTAGTTAGAACATACCCTCACATTTGTCAAACTTTTAAATACATGACTACTTATGGTGTATGTGCAGAACAAAAAGCAGTAATGGTTAAGTGAAGTACATACAAGGGAAAATTTAAGAATCTGATTTCTCTAAATATGTAGTCAATGTAATGAGGATGAAACTACAGACACTTTGGTGTGTTGCCAAGGTGTTACATTTTAGTCTCACTTAAATATCAAGCTCTTGAAGAAGCTATCTGCAATATACTTTCTTTCTCATGATGCACAATGGTTGTGCAAGAATTTCATCTTGATAGGATTTTTAATATTTTCATCATTAACCCACTGCCGCCGGGGATGGCATGAACGTACATGCCATGCCCACTTTGAGTTGACTTGTTCGATTGTTTTTACACATAGATGTCTACACTTGTACTAAGTATCCAATGAGCCAATTACGAGAACTGCCTGTCTCGCCCGTTCACCCTTTTCAACGATTTACGAAAATGTTTAACGTTATCCTAATTTGCTGTTAAAAATAACACCATCTATATTTATAGCACTAGTAAAAATACGTTTTTTCCCGCCAATTCAAGGAAAGGTGAAATCAGGACTAGCAGAGCCATCTATGGGCAGATATTTCACAAAAATATAAAAAATGAGTACTGCATTGCCCCCATTTTTTGTTCATTTTCCCCGGCAGCAATGGGTTAAGGTTCACTATACACTTTATACATCTTTTTATTTTTCCTTTTTTTCAAATCTTATTAGTGAATGCATGAAAACAATGGAAATACAATGAAGATATTTATTTACATCAATGTATTCTATGACTAACAAAAATATCCAGATGCTGCAGGGAAGTCCTCATTAAATAAGAAATTACTTACAAGTAACTAAATACATGTTAGTCTGGAAGGTATAAAATACACTTCCATCACACCCAGAATACCTTGTCAATATTAATCATGGCTTACAAACTCTACCCTGCTACTTTACACAAAAACAAAATATAATGTGCCAAGGTCCCTCTAGTATCCTTCCTTTGAGCTAAGCTTCTTCGAGTTCTACCAACACTCCTGCGCAATCCTTGGGGTGCAGGAAAACAACAGGCTTCCCATGGGCTCCAATCCTGGGCTCCTTGCTAAGGCAGCGAATCTTCTGTGCCTGTAGGTCAGCCATGGCAGATTTGATGTCATTCACCTCGATGCAGATGTGGTGCATTCCTCCGTTCTTGTTCTTGTCCAGGAAATTCTGAAAGAGAGGACACACATTTTTGAAAAATATATATGTGAATATATTTCTTAACTATGAAAAGATATTAGAGGGCCCATATTCCTGCCATTTAATTTTTTTCTTCATTATTTTCTGTTTTCTCTTCTTTGAAGAAGAAATAAATATCTTAAAAAATGCAACAGAAGAAATACTGATATATCCAATATCCTTATTTAATTATTTCTATTTTCCAAGATGAACTGTTCTCTCCTGACATAAATAGGAAGGAAGAATCTGTGAATAAATTTAAAATATTACCAAACAAAGAAAAGTGTAACCCACAAACATTTCACTCACTTGAATAGGGCTATTTTCTCCAAGTGGATGCAGTAATTCCAGTTTTGTGTTATCCAGCTTCACAAACACAGTGTACACACCATGTTCTGGCAGAGCCTCCACCTCACTAACTTCTGCTCCTAAGACATCCCTATCAGGATAAACAAATATATTTAAAAAATCAGTTAGATACAATAATCTTAAAGAGTTTAGGATTTAGCATGACCACTTTCTGCCCAGGAAATGTTAATAATCCAGAGTTATCTAAATCTAGGCATCTCTAATCTAAGGAGCCACTACCCATGCAATCTGGCTAATCAAGAAAAACCTAATCTCCATGTATGTGTAAGCTAGCTAAGCATGCAAGCCATCAGTTTTCTACTGCCTAATATTTTGTGTTGATATGTAACTAGCGAGTGAAAGTTTTAAATGGAGATATAAAAAATATATATACTTTTAACTTTTTGCACAAGATAAACTACTAGCTGAGCAGTTCATTTAATTATCATATTTGTTATGGATGTTACAGAAAACAACAAATATTGGTAAACCAAATATACATTAGTAAATACACATACTTTAACTTTATAAACAACTTAAGTACGTGAATAACTACACATTCTGGAAACAGCCCACACAGAATATCAGAATAATCATAGTAAAGATCTGCAGGTCTTTGACTAGTGCAGCCCCAATGTAAATAAAGTAATTTTCAAATGGTGAAAGGTATGAAAAGAATTAATTACTTCCAGTGCAACATGGGTGATCATGGTTTTAAAACTACATCTTCAAAATTATGGAAATCTTATATTATGATATCAAATAATTTCACATGGCAAGATATATGACTACTATCAAAGTTTTCATATTAAATCTGCAGAACTAGATTCAGATTAAAACACAACTGACAGTACAGTTCAACCTTAAAATAATTAACTTTCTGTCATACCTTGCTCAGTAACAATCATTACCACAAATCATAGTGAAAAATACATCTACATAAAAATAAAAATAACCAAAATTTAAAAATAAAACTTACCTATAGAGTGCTGTACTCTTTTCCAGGTCTGGTGTAGCAATAGCCACATGGTTAAGGTTTCCCAACTTCCATAGTGCTGCAGGAACTTTGGTTTGGGGGCTTTGGTGAGTCACTGCACTGTGGCTTATAAGACGACTGCTCAGTCCGGCCATTCCCGAGAGGCGGGAGGCAATTTGGGTTATGTGCCGCATGGATCTCATTGTGACAGTTTTTGTCTCTTTTTAATATACTATGACCTTTCTAAAAGAGAAAGTATTGGAAAATAATGAAATATGACAAATATTGATATGCCCAAAGCTAACTTTTCATTATGTGTACTGATAGAGTCTTTGTAATGCTCCTGACACAGGAACTTCAATCACAAAAGAAAAATCATATCTAATAATAGTACGAAATAGATTTCTTAAAGCTTGAGAGTAGGAGCTGTGTCCTCCATTTCAACTTTCTCCTGCTCTTCGCGAATACGCTGTTCCTCCAGGCGCTTGGGCTTAATCTGGGTGAAGTAGTAATAGGAGCGCGAGCCCACAATCAGCATCCCATACAGGGTCAGGCCAACGCAACCTGCCACGAAACTTTTGTGGAGGATGTCAGCCCAGCGGTTCTGGATCGGCCTTCTCTTCATCACTGTCTATTCAAGCTAACCTGTTGGGGAAAAGGAATAATTAATAATGGGACAAATGCTTATTAGCGAAGAGAGAAGGAAGGGAAGGGAAGAAGGGCAGTAGACAGGAAGGAGTGAGAACGCAAGTTGAGGAGAAGGGGAAGGGGGAAGATTAATTCAAAGACCATAGGAGCCCCTGCTCCCAGTGCCATACTGAAAAGCATATCAGGGTGCATGCTGAGTCAGATGCTTGAGGGGAAAATCAGAAGCATAAGAAACATCAATTTACCCTGCTTGTTTATTCTCTTGGCTACGGCACAAACAGTTTTCTTGACAAGGCTAAAAAAAATGCTTTAAGCCTATTTTTGAGGGGTTATTTCTCTTCCAGAAATGCAGCCTGGGCCAATCAAGAATCCAACTTAGTACGCAAAAATCAAAGCAGGCTCGACTGTGCATGACCCAACCACGTCATCCAGATGTGCGTGGTGGTCTACCATGACAGGATGCCCTCCCAGTGGGAAAGGCTTAACCTGCCACAGAGTGATTGACTGATCTTCATTTATGGTTCTGGCATCTATGAATTATTCAAATGAAATGTACTTATGATACTATTCTTCTGTTCACTATTATTTCTAGTTCTGATAGCAACAAAGCAAAAAACAAACAAAAACAAACTGCAAATGAGAAGAAGGCAACAAAATCACACACTACAAAAAGATAATAAAACTTTACAGTCAACACAAAAGCAAAATATTCTGTTTCCTCAGACAAATTAACAAATAACCTAACCATTTACCAATAGCTTACTTGTGCATTCATCATTCATAATTCTGCAATTGTAAATAAATGCTAAGAAGAATAGAGCTTTACCCTATAATTACCGTTCTTCATGTACTCAATAGTGTGCCATATCTATTTGCTAATATAATGAATGTTTAATATATTATTGATTATATATTGTAAATTCCTAAATCTAACAGGATCTCCTGTGTATCAATCACACTCCCTCCCCCTGGTAAGGAAATATTTTAAAATCATATATGCTATGCTCTATGTGTTGCTATGAAAATTTACGCATTTTACTGCTTATTATCACAATATTCTCCTTGCTTTATGGCCAGTCATCATAACTTAACTTGTTCCCTTGCAACCTTTGCATAGTAATTGTTAGCAAGCTGTCATTTTTTTTTTTTTTTTCTTCTTCTTTTTAAGCTTAGACACTTGTATGTGTAACTGCTAGATATCAGTGACTTCTGAGGGGTTGAACAATCCACAAATATCCATACAAAGGATACAATTGTATGCTTTAAGAACTCCTCATCTGGCTTGGAAGAAGTTGTTCATATCATTTATCTTGCCAACCTCTGCATTGGGCCAGAAGGACAAGATGATGTCTTAAGTGTGTTTGTTGTCTGCACACACCAATTGTTGCAGGTAAGATTGGTGAAAGGGAGGTTTATGACACTTTATTGGGGTTATTCAAGGTTATTTTTGTATTGGCTGTGGCTATATCTGAGCTATCATAGTGCGATGTCTACTGACTATTTTTCCAGGAGTTCCAGTTATGCGTGCACAGTAAGGAATTCTTGAACCCTCCTCTAATCAAAGCAATGAATCAGTCAATATACTGTCTAAAGCAAGGGGCCGAGTGCCAATCCAGGAAAACAAAGAATCTTCCACATATTCATAGCAAGAGAGACCGTTGGACAGATTCAGCGTTAGGGGCTCCTGCAGGTTGGCTGTGCGCTCTAGCCTGCCGTGGGTAGAATTCCACACTGCAAACACATGGTTGGAACTCCCAGTTGCAGACAAGATACATATAAATCAGTGTAATTACATAACATACATATGACATCTAAAATAAAGGCACTGGTATAAAATAAATAAAAAAAATAAATAAAAATGGAGAATGTTTACTTTAGCACCGATTCCAGACTAGTCATTTAGCCGAGCAAGACTTGGGAGTTCCAATAGCAGCATAATACAAGGATATCTGAATAGAGCATCAAAAACTAACGAATGACATGTACACAAATTATACATATCATTCTGAAAGATCAATAACATATATAACTCTGCAAAATGGGGGGGGGGGAATAAGAAAAACGAAAAAATAGAAAAAAAAGAGAAAAACGAAGATAGCTTCCTAGACTTAAATAACACCCTACCTACTGTGCCACCCTATCATACCAAGTAATTTCGTAATTGCATACGATGACACGGTAAGGACACAGTTTCAAATGGTAATTAATTGATAACAAAACAGCCTATAACAAAATATTTATATAATCCGAGTGAAATGACCAAGTCGTCTGTTGTGCAACCGACAACCATTAAAGTCACTTATCTATTAAACCCCAAATCAATGTATAACCAACCTATTGTATTTCTACTCTACGCACTTACATTAAAGTACAAAGAAGCGTTTTATGGGATGTTATACGCAAGACCCGGCCTTTTAAAGACAAAGTTCCTGAGACTCACTTGGAGAGCTCACGGTTTACGTCGTGAATTTCGACCAATGGGATTCGAGGAAATTTTTCAACCAATCAGAATCCTCCTTCTCTGTTGTTAGAGATGTTGAGTATAAGTATTTAGAGTATTATTGGATAAGTGTATTCATATTATATCATGTTTTTAGGAAAAGAAGAATTTAATTTCGTCTGATGCTTTACTATAAATGTGAAAAAAATATGAGTAAGTAGATTTTATACGTCCTTTGCTAGAACTTATCATCGAATTCCGTAATATTTCCAAATAGAGGAAGTGAAAAAATTCATTTAATATTTTTTTTCCAATCGAATATTTCAATAAAAACAGATGATTTTCTTTAATTAATCTCAATAATATTCTTGTACAAGGAGCGTTCTGATTGGCTGACTCGCTCTGGCCTCTGATTGGCGGATTTCCCTTCCCGGAGCAGAATGTCAACAATGGAGGTGACGAGCAACTGGCCCAGCGACAGCGACTCCAATTTACGAGACATAATTCGGGAAAGTGAGAAGCTACCGACGGGAGAATTGGAAGACTTACTGGACGAGGAGAAGTGCATTAGTTTAGCTCGGGCGGAAGGCGAGGAGGAGGATGGCGGCTGTGTTATCCGACTCGCCGCGAGATCGACTTCGTTCAGACACACCAATGGGTTTTCGTCTCGGACTAAAAGACTTCTGGTTGGATTTATGGTCTTATCTGAAGCCAGAGTGATCGAGGTGTGTACTGGGACGCACGAGGAGTACTTCAAGACGGTGCACGGTTCGCTATTGGGGGACTTCGGGGACTCGAAGATATTCAAATGTGAATTCCAGTTTGAGAAATGCCAGGAAACTGTGGTGCTCAAGTTGAAGGGGACGTGTCATGGCGAGTCGGTGTGGATCTACGGCTTCCACATCACGACGGCCGCGGATCCAGAGTGTGCGAATGCGGTTTCCAGGAGTCGCTTTGGGAGTGAACACCTGTCGACCGTGCTGAGGGAAAAGGATGTCCAGATGTCGAAGGAAGCCACGAAGTTCCGGCAGATGCTCGAGAGTTACAATAACGGCATGAAGGAAACGGGGGACACGTTGCAGGGGGCAGATCCGATGAATCTTATGTCGATGATGTTTGGTTCTATGATTCCCTCGGCTAGACCAGAGATGTTCCCCAGTTCGTTAGGGGAAGGAAATGCAAGAAAGAAAAAGGGGAGAGTAGAAGATGAAATAGAATCTGTGATTAGCAAGGTCGAGTCAGAGACAAAGAGAGTTAAAGGGACTATAGATGGTAGTAGAGAGAGCAATCTTTTTAACGTAGAGAATGCATTGAAACACCTTGCTTTATATCCTGAAAACAAAGTGTTAAGAGAGAAAAATACAAGAATGGCTGATGGTGGGAGTGAACCACCAATGCAGATGAACAGACTTGTTGAAAAATTACAAAACTATATGGACGATGGCAGTGCAGCTCCAAAATCCATGATGGAATTGACAAATATGTTACAAAAGTCAGTAGGTGTGGATCCTGGTCCAAACAGCTTTAATGTGACAGAAAGAAATGCCATAGGATTAAAGTCAAAGAATTCACTCATGGAAAACTGCCAGGAATCTAGTAGGACTGGATCAACTGAAGGACTTTGTAAATGTTCAAAATCAAGTCAAGATGTCACGAGAGGGAATGTGTTGCACTCGCAAGGAAATGCAGGAGCTGCTTCAATACAGCAGGATTCCAACAGATATGTAACTAGTGCTGATTTTGAGGATCGACTAGCACAGCAAGTTGAGCGACTGATAGATGTGAAATTAGCAGCAATGGAGGATAGACTGATGAAGAAGTTTGAACAAAAACTTGTTGAAAAAATTGATGAAGAAAGTGTTAAACTCAACAAAATAGAAAATCTATTGGAGAGAATATATGAGAGATTATAATGATAGTAACATAAATTATTAATAAGATTTTATTAAGTAGATTATTATATATTTATTAAAAATATGTATTTATACTATGCAGAGAAATTTTTACTTGTATATATATGTATGCAGCAAATGAATACTATCTTTTGTAAATGTAGCTTAGATATGATATATAATATTATTAAATCAAATATTATATCATTATATATATATATTATCTATATATATATATATTTATATATATATATTTATATATATATATTTATATATATATATATTTATATATATATATATATTTATATATATATATACACACACACACACATATATATATATATAGAATATATATATATATTTATATATATATATTTATATATATATATTTATATATATATATACACACACACACACATATATATATATAAATACACATACACATACACACACACACACATATATATATATATAATATATATATATATTAATATATATATATATACTATATATATATATAAATACATATATATATATATACTATATATATATATATACACACACACACACATATATATATATATAGAATATATATATATATTATCTATATATATATATAAATACATATATATATATATACACACACACACACATATATATATATATAGTATATATATATATATG